AATGTACATATTTCTATATGAATTGGGTAAAATTGGCCCAGTGGTTCTAGAGAAGTTAAAAATGTAAAAAGTTTTCAGACAAACAGATGGACAACACGTCACGACAGACATTATATGCTAAGGAAACCAAAAAAGCTCAAATGAGTGTTTTGAAAAGGTTACAATATGGTTGGAGTATTTGAAAATTTTTTTTTTTTTTCCTGCAGAGATATGCATGACCAACATATTCATGTTTTATATTTTCTTTAGTGATTTGTTTGTTTGTTGTGAATACATCTTCCCTCATATGGAGACACCACCAAATAATAATGAAGATAAGATGTGTTTGTGAAACACTGATGTCCCAGTATGGAAGCCTATGGCGAAGGTTGAAGTTTCTCAAATATATGTCAAAATCAAAGGTCAAGGTCAAAGGGTTCAAATTGTTAGTATCAGAAGAAAGTCTTGTCACAAGGAATGCACATGTGAAATAAAGAAATCCCTAGTAATTCCTGTTCAAAAGTTAATTGCCAAGGTTAATTTTTTTGTTTAAGTGGTTCAAACTCTAGGGTCAAGGTCAAACATATTTATACCTGTTGACAGTTCACAATGAATACAATATGTCATGATAAGTATGAAAGCCCTAGCACCTACTGATCAAAATTTAGGCAGAGTTTAAAGTTTGGTATTTTTCTTGTAAAAATGTGTATCCCATGTCAAGCGATCAGAGGTAAAAATTAATGGTACCCAAATAAAAGGTCTTATTAAATTGTCACAAGAAATAAACCTATAAAATGTGGAAGCTATTTGTATAGCCCATCCCACTTAAAACTGATGGGCAAGCTAGCTAGGATTTAATTTCTGCAGACTTATAGACAGACATACTATAAACACAAGAAACAAAATATGTATAATAATTAGTCAAATGGAAAAAAATATACTATTTAACTGGAATAACAAAATACATTGTTATTTCAGGGACAGGAAGTGGGTAGGAAGATTGGAATCCCCCCCATCCCCCCCCCCCCCCCCCCCCCCCCCCCCCCCCCCCCCCCCCCCCCATCTGGCATTTGCTTTGTTATTTAAACAAGACTATATACTGTAGCAAGTAAAAAATGACTCTTGACATCCTCTCCCTATAAACTTAGAAAACATTGACCTCACTATCATTGTTTTTTTATTTGTTTTCATTTTTTTTCTCCTGCTTGTCACGAAATTCTGGGCTGGAATTTTTTGACTGAGATGTGAACCCCCCTCCCTACTCCCGAAAAAAATTCTGGATCCGCACCAGTATTGGCAGTAACTGAGTCACATCGACAACGGGAGATAACTTCACAATATGAAATTCGTCTAGTGTGGCATGCGATGATCTTTCACCCTTTTTAAACTTTAACCTAATAGTTTGGGTGTATTTTACCCCCCACTATACTAAAACTTCTACTTACCGACTCCCTGTGTCTCAACTTCATGAAATATAAATCCAATTATAACTCAAAATGAATTAATCCAATGCACACCAGACTGCAGCCATGTGCCATTTTGGCGAACCTTCGTCGATTCCATCACCTTATCAGATGAAGTGGGAATCGGCCGAGGTGTGCCAAATGGTGTTTAATCTATAAATATGATAATGGGTGACGCAACGTGATGTGATGTAGAAATTTACATGTTCACATGTATAGTACAAGAACAAATTTTAATAACCCTAACCCTAACCCTAACCCTAACCCTAACAGAATTTATAAATTAATTCATAACAAACGATATTAAATTTTAACAAACCTTTTCCATCTAGCCTATTCCAAAAAGTATGTGCTGTGTGATTGTGGTGTCGGGGGGGGGGTTAGTAAATTTAAAAAGGTCCTATTATGAGCAAAACATATATCAAAATCTAATTTCAGACGGGGATCCAGAAATTTTTTCCGGGGGGGGGGGGGGGGGGGGGGGGGGTCCACCTCAGTCAAAAAAAAATCCTATCCCAGAAATTGACAATCAAAAAAAAACTCTAAAGTAAATCTCACCCAAACGTCAAAAACCTATATCGTGGGGGGTAGGGTGGGAGTAGTGGTGACTTCTATTGCCACAAATCAGTTTAACACTTTTCATACTTATTTTACACATATTCGTGTTTACCAGGGGGGATCTGCATTTTCCAAGGGGGGTCCATTGTAACTTTTTCCTTGTTTTAGTATATACATTTTTTAACCTTGTAAATTCCAGGGGGGGGGGGGGGGTCCTGACCCCCCCCCCCCCCGACAGATCCGTGCATGAATTTACATCATTAATAAAATTCAGACTGGTATATAATGAATTAAACATGTATAAAATAAATATAAGAGGTTCTGAGTTATAGGTCACAGGGTCTGAGAATTTCATACTCAATTTGATGAATACATGTAAATTATAGAATTATTTTGACTATTTCTTGGGAAAGCCGCCCAATATGTAGGAGCGTGTATTTAGAGGCAAACACCTTAGTGCGGGTATTACTGTCTCATGACAGCATCTAGTTTTTCATTACTTTTTCATAGAATTGTAATTATCGGTACTCAGAAAATTTCAGGGAAGGGTCAACTGAACCCATCAAGGGGCTACCGAATTCACAAATATGGAAGAGGCAATGTACCATGTACTTTTTTACTAGTCTTTATGATCAGTAAAACCTAACCCTAACCCCTGACCCAGGTGCTTTGAATTTTTATTAATAATTTTGGAAGATGTCTCCTCAGTCATTATAACCAAAACATTAATTAAATTAGTTTATTGACTAAATACAAAGTGCTAATTAAACCCAGATTTAAGTGATCATGCACCTAGGATTTGAATTACCGGTACCTTGAACCTTGGTTTAATTACCAAACATTTTCTACAAATGGTCAACATTTCTGAAACAATATGCTCTTGAAAAGAAATCAATTCTTTCAGAAAATCAAGTAAAAAGATTACTTTTTTAAATTTACGAAAAAACTATCGGATGCAGATTTATTAATCAAGTCAATGGATGCAACATTACTCGTCATGACCAGATGTGTAATGAAAACAATGTGTAGATACTGACAGATTCCTAGGGGAAACCAACAGATTGAATGTTGGCAAGCACTCACTCTTCAATTGAAATTCATTTATTTCTGCTGACATAGATGTATTTGACAAACTCAGCAGACACCTAGGCTTTTTTATATGGGTACAAACAACAGTTGCTTTAACAAGTTGGCAACCCACATTTTGCTGTCTCTATCTGCCTGGAATGCTAAAACTAACTTTATAATACTGCTGCAGTCTAATAAAATTTGGGATACCATTCCCGTTCTGCTGGATACATGTAATCTTCCAGTGATAAAATGGTCCCAGTAAGTGATAGAATACTGTGTTTTAATATTCTTTGAGAAAGGAAATCAATGAAGTAATTATCAGTTCAATAACTCCTTCAGCCTGTTTACACAAATATGGAGTCTTTATTAGTGACACTATCAGCTTCAGAGATAATCTAATAAAGTATGGTTCAATGGATTCTGTTATTGCCAAAAATTGCAAAAATATCAGATATTAATGATATATCCAAAATTTTGGCTTTTAACAATCAGATACTTTAACAGTGTGTTAAAAAAAAACAATAACCAAAAAAAAATTACATGAGGCCCATGGACCAGATCTTTCACTTGAGCAAATATTGGCTAGGAGAAAGGCAGGAATTCATTCTATACCTTTAGACATAGACAATAGATGAGAAAACAAACTGGGTGCAGATCGAGATGGGCTACACAACAATATCAATATTCTGGTATATCGCAATTTGTTGACAAAAAAAATGTTTTACAAGTACCAATACACTGGCAGAATTCTTGGGATCTGAGTCAAAGATGAAAATTTTAACTATATATTAGAAACGTTTTCAATCGTGCCAAACAGTAAGGTTGCTGTTGTATGGTTGCAATCTGTTGCAAAACTGTAGAAGAGAAATCAACAAGAACATTCTTGTTAATATCTATTTATCATAGCTAATACTTTTTGCTTATGAGTGGAGGTTTATAAACAAATTAAAAAAAAATTAAAAAAGTTAATTTTTATTGTTATTGAAAAAGTTGTGATACATATCTCAATACAGTTAAAAATACTGCAGTATATTGCAATAGAAAATTCACAACCGATACTTACTTTAGGGACTTTTATGAATTTTATTACTTGAATTCAAGGCCAAATTCTGTAAATTAAGAAAGGACTTTTAAATGGTTAAACTGTTATTACATCTTTAAATTATTTTTTATCAATATTTCTGAGTGCCCCATTCCCTCTGGTCATTAGCTATATTACATTATTTAAAATTGAAATAACAAACTGACATTGTATTTATGAATAAATATTGAATTTAACTAAATCTAGTTTTTTATTTTAATTTTTATTTCTTTTGCAAATATTTCTTTAGGGTCTTCATCATCACCCAAGTATACAGTTGATTTTTAAACTGGACAAAACACCTTCAAGGCTTGGGTGATTAAGATGCAATATGTGATTCAATTATCTTGATTATGAAGAACAGCACTTTTAGTTTTAGGTCCCATTTTAAATAGGTATCAGTAGCATGCAGGTTTTTTGTAATATCTCAGAAAACAGCAATTAACTCTTAAAGAGAAAAATTTGTAAAGATACATGTATTGCTGTTCCTATTTCCATATAATGTTGATGATATTATTAAAGCCCTACTGAGAGATTGTTTAACAGAAGCATCTGCTCTTGTGAATACACAGGAGATAACCATGGTTCTAGGGATATAACTGCTGTCAATCAGTGCAACATGTGGCCCCATCGAGACATCAAGTAGATAGTGCGATGTTCCTCTTTTCTTATCATGCACTTTCTGCATAGGTCTTGTACATACGGTAATATGCCATGCGTACATCAGTATCATTTTGTATGGTACGTTATATAAAACCTACAGTTATATAAAACCTACACTAGTATGTAGAATTGTCACAACACACACATGCTTTATTATACCCCCAGTGCCCCTACTACCACAATACCTCAAACATGCCCAGGTATCTCCCTAATGTCCCCCTGACCCCCGCTTCCTCTAGGGCCTCTCTTTCAGCGGTGGTGTGCGACTCTTCGGTGGGCTCCATTCCACCACCTGGCACTACCCATTTTTCCCTGTCTTTGCTACTTGTCACAAGAAGAAGCTGTAAAATTGATCAAAGAACAATTACATGCAACATGTACAATGGCATAGAAAAAGATTGAAAGTTGTAAAAAGAATGAATTGTAATTTTAACCATGAGTAAGAACATAAAATAGGGTTTTTAAATTGGTCAGATTCTCTCTTTTTGAAAATTAAAGTTAAAAGGTTGGTAAGCCAGACAATGAAAACTTTTTAAAGAATCAGTGATGGAAATAAAGTGTAATATTGCAAATAAATAATTTGTATATCATCAAGAAATGTTGTATGGTGTATAAGGAAAAGATCTGCCACATAACTTCTTTTTGACACTTGGTTGTGACTTGTCTAGCAGATTTATAGCAATTTCTACAAATTTGCTATAAGATATTTTTTTCTTTTGCAATAAAGAAATTGAATTGATAAAAGCAAATATCATGGGTTTCAAAGAACATTATTTTTATCATTTTTTTTTAATTGAATGGAAAACTGACAGCCATAGTGAATATGTTGGATATGTTATACATATTCTATATGCTTCAAAAACATATATGACTGTAAATCTTGAAACCTTGCTAAAAAGGCCCGATTTTCACGTGGATTTCAGCTTCTTATTCTCACACGCAGCAGTGATTGTCTGAACAAGCCAATATTGTCAGTTTTTTGTATAAATATACGCTTCAATGCAGCTCTGTCCCGGATTTTCAATACGCACGAGATTTTTGATTATTTTGTAAAAACAACAAAATTCCCGTTTTTTATAATGCTCTTTTTCTGCTCGCTAAAGAGGGATTTTAAATTTGTTATGTATGGCAAATAGCCTAACAGCAAAGCATGTGTTGCTAACCTGTTCAAGGATTTTGAGCAGAGGTGGTCAAATCAAAAATCTTTTTTTCCCTGTGGAATTTTCAGAATTTCATCACTTGGATCCTTTCAAATTCATATTTTCATTCCTTTCTTTTGCAAAAAACACACAGAGCCTGGATTTTTTATATTCATTTTTTTGGGGGGACAGTTTTTTAATAGATTTGATTTCAACTCATCAACATTATCTGTGAACTGATATATCTCTTTTCCCTACAAAATAAAAGATTTTCTGAAAATACAAAAACTCATAAATGTGAAACTTAAGACTTGCATATTTGTTTCATTTAATTCTGCATCATAGGCACTGCCATATTTTAAAGCATAATCCATTTCAAGCCTGTTTCCCTTGCCCGCCATGTTCAAGATGTTATAGGTGAACAGTTACAGGATGAATGTTTCAATCTTTAATTATTAAATGTAACGTAATTTCATTGCAGACACTTAACATAATAATTTAACAAAATTTTCATTAAAAAGGACATAATGCTGTACAAATAGAAAACATCTTGACATATATCTCACAATTCAGCGATTGCCTCCATTTTTTTGTAACTCACCACTAATATCGCAGTTATGACGTTAGTAAATTTATCCTCTGGAATATTCCTTGTTCGAAATTCTTTATTTTCTTACATCAAAGGTTGAAAATTAAATTATACGCTAATAATCCTCCCACTCTACCGATTCACTTTCCAATGTCTCGCGCGTTATAAAGCTTTGCGCCTTTTAAAAAGTGTCATGCAGAGCTAATTAAGAAATAGTTTCGAATTGCCAAGATTTTTGTTTAACAAAAAATAACAAACACTATCTGAAAAAATTTTTCACTGAAATTAATTTTTTTTTAATTAATATAAGTTATATCATTTATTGAATTGGATTTTTTTACATTATACCTGTAGAGCCGTAGTTTCGTATTCAAGTATGGCCGCCTCCATATCCGGCCTGACAACAAATATCTCTTGGAACCACTCTCCCCAAACTGAGTACCATAATGCTATGATTTTTATAGGAGAATAAACTACAAAATACGAATGTGGTTCATGTCATACTCAAATATTTCCTAATATTCATTTTTACACACGATGGACAGAAAAATGTGTTTTAATTTCATCAAAATATAAAACTTTTACCCAAGAAGGCAGCTTCAACGGACGAAAACCTAATTTTTTATTGTGGAAAAAATTTGTCAATACGTATTTCTAAAGATTATGAAATTTTTCAGACTGTAAGTCTGTTTTATTTTCTTACAACTTGTTTAAAGTTTGACAAATAGAGAAAATTCGCACAGGACAAAGTTGTGTCGTGAAAAATGAGCATAATTTAAAGCACAATATTAACATAGTTGGCCAATTTAAATGATGCGGGAAACATTGTTAATTCAATATGAGAATAAAATGCTGTCAATATTGATAGAGAGAATGTTCTTTAAATTACGACATAATTTAATTAAAATCTCCCTTCTAGAAATTTTCATAACAGTTTTATTATCCTGAAGTTTAGTTATCAATTACATGATCATGACGGGTGTGTGTTTAACCTCTTATGTTCCCCACTACGTCTATGATGTCACATACTTTCAAAATCAAAACAAAAGCATTTTATTAATTAAATCAGGGGCTGGTTCAACAATTGCATCTGCATGCAAAAGTTGTATTATGGGAGTAATAATGTTTTCTAAAATTGTTTGTGAAAATTATTTTTACATTTTTAGAATAAAATTCAAGAACATTCATTACCTTGAACTACTAAGTTTTTATCATAAACCGAAAATTACCAATATTCATATTTGTTCATCATTTGTTCATGAACTATGAATTATGGAATGGTTATTCAGTAATTTTATTCATATATATTTTATGAACCTGTTACAGAATGTAATAGATACTTCTATAACAATTATGAACACACTCATAAAGGTTCTTAAAACATGATTTATATTTATATTTATATCAATTACCATGACATCATACTGATATACCTGTATACCAAATTTCATTTTATTGGCAACGGTTGTGAAGAAAATGAGTGGAAACTAAATGGACTGACAGTGTTCACAGACTTTTAATGTCTATATATAGCAATATGTACACCTCCCTTCTAAAACAATTTTTGATGAAAAAAAATCATGGATTTGGTGTTCTTGAAATTTTTTAAAGATATTTTAGTATATTTTAATGCAAAAATTGATCCCATTTTGTGTCCCACCCTACCCCCAAGAATTCTGATTTTTTGAAAATCTTGTAAACTACTATAAATTTAGGATGCTTCCAGATAAATATCACCAGCCAAGCCATGGCTTTGCTGTCCTTAAAAAAACTTTTATAAACCTTAAAAAAGACTGATTGGTTAATGGCTTATCCTGATTGACAGCAAATTGTTATCAGGAAAAAAAATCATTGTAAATATGATAATTTTGTTGATTTTCCAAAACAAATCTGGTACTTTGATTACTTTCCACTTAAAATCATGTCTGAGCACATAAATAGTTCATTTAATTTATAAATAATGTGACAGTGAGTAAATCTAAATCTACATTCTTAACTAGGACATTACTTGTGACCCACATTTTATGTTGTCTGCCCCATTTCTTTCTGTTCTGCATGTCTCTCTGTCATTAATGTATATATATTAGGGATGGCAATTGTACAAAATTGCTAATTGGTTAACCGCAACACGTTCCAACTGATTTACACGGTTAATCAAATCAAAAACACTTTTTTTTTAACAATTTATTTTTTCAAGTAGCTCTATTAAGTATACACAAAAAGACTGAAAATCTTGAACTTTCTTTTTGCATTAATAAATTTATTTAAAAGTATAATATAAACAAAAACTATCAGGACAATTTTTTATATAAATTGCAACTTTGGACAAGAAACATTTTGGAAAAACATGAAAAAGGCATAGAACAAATCATTGATAACATTTGAGAGCTAAAATTCTCAAGTTTTTTTTGGTCAGAAACAAAAGCGGATAATAATAAATATGCCTTTCATTCAATTAACAAATTGCGTTTTTAATTGGATAGATATTGAAAACGAAAACATTTTACCAATTAACAGAGCTTAGGCCATAATAAAAATATTAAAATGATTCTCATCCCCGCCCGCCCCGATTCTATATCCCCTCCTCAATTTCTTTATTTCTGTTTTTCTTCATTTTAATTCTGATCATGATCGGTATTCATCTACCAATCACTTTTGTTTTAAATCCTGCAAAGTCAACATGATTTTGACAGCTGAAAACATGGTAATTGCTGTAATACATGCGTATATATTTTAAAAAGGATCATTGGTTGAAAAACATTGGTGATGATGTGAAGTAGGAGATAATTGAACATGTGTTTTACTATGTTTTTATTCCATGTAACCTACAAATAAGACAAACCCTATGCATTGAACTTTAACAATGTTTAATTCAAAAAATCCAAGTTCATTCAAATTTTAGCATTGCACGTTTTTCACATGTGAAAAATTTGACCATATCATCTTGTCTAAACAAATATATTTTAATATACTAAATATTAAAAATTAAAATCAAAATAAAAAACCTCACCTCCTCCTCTTTATGATCTTTGAAGCACAAGCATGCTGCTCGTCGTCTGAATCCATCCTTGTCATAAGTTCTTATCGAATTTGGTTTTTCTTTCACCATGTCAAAAGTTTCCAATAAAAGAACCCCCCAAAAATTATGTCTTAATTATATACTATCCAGGTTCATATTAACATCGCTTATGTTGAATGTTGCAACCAACGACAAGCATATGAAAACGTTTCCCAGAGATCACACTGTATACATCCGGTTCCAAATTGACGTCTGCTTGGAGGGAACATTTAAAAATACGAAAAAGAAATATATGGCTAAAGAGAAGTTTAACTAATAATCGCAGCGCACGTGCATGCACTTTACCGCTAATTGCTATATGCATTTGTCCCAAAATATAAATGAATACGTTTTTCCTGAAACTTGAGGTTGTTGCTCATTAGAAATATGCACTGTATGCCATCCATGCAGAGGATAAAAAAGTGTTATGTACTTTTTAAAAAAATAATTTTTCCATCTTCAAAACATCTATTTTATAATTATGTCAAATGCAAGATGACCTTCAACTTTTTTTTCGTTAACTTTCCTTATTCACCTGCATTACATATATACATAAAGTGTTTAAATCTCCCAACTTATTCGATACTCAAGAGCATGCTAAATTTTGTAACCAAGTCAGGTTACTGACAGATAAGTTGTTGCTACAAGGATTTCAACAATCTCGTCTAAAGTCGACAATTCTTAAATTTTATGGTCGTTATAATGACCGTTCAGCAAACATAACCTACCATACGATACGTCGTATTTGGCTGAGTTTTTCATACCATATTTAAAATTGTCATGCCTTTGTTTTTATGCAGGGCTTTCACCTTAAAAAGTTGATATAGCACGATTACTATCCTAAATAATGTTTGGATCTGCAATGTTTGTTTTTAAACTATATATGTATTGTCCTTCTAATCATTCCTATTGCCTCTAACACAAAATGTTCACGTACTTTGTCTATATTAGGCCCCTATACAATTGATCATATATAGGGATTGTCTTTTAGATTATTAGAACACATGTAAATTTTATAGAACCAAGACAACGGATTAAATATGTTTCAGGGTCCAGAAACAGGTGCTGTAGTGAATGGGGTATTTTTTCCAACATGAAAACTTTTGTTGAAACCTTTATAATCTCTAGTCTGAAAGTGTCTTTGTGCGTGTGTGTGGGGGTGGGGGTGTCCTGCCCACAAGCACTGACCTGTAGTTGCAACCACCACCTTCCCACCCCCTCAATAATTCTTATGACATTTTTTTTACCAATAAAAAAATTTGCACAACTACCCACCGTAACTAAAATTGAGTTCTACAGAGCTGAATTTGCACTTAGTTTTAATTTTTGATAGGAGCAATGGCCTGCATCGCAAGATATGTACTTTAGATCGATCTCTGACATGAGAATGCCCATTGTAAATACTTTGTCTATTTACTTTGTCCTTGAGAATCAGAAGCGACCATCTAGTAGATCGATTCCACGAGTGATCACGAATGGCCCCATGACTGGGTAATATTATAACCAACCAATGGAATATTCTATCTCATAAGGCCCAAGAGTCGATCTGTTTTCAGTTTCAATTTTTATATAAGCTTATATCTCCAAGCATCAGCAGGACAGCAAATACATTTAATTACAAAATATGAGTATTCAAAGTTTGATATAAAAATGATATACACATACCAATGAATGATACGGTTATGCATGCCTATGATAACATTTAAGCTGGTGAATCTGTAAATTATATAAAAAAAAAAGGTTCATTGGTTTTTCGTTTGAACGAAAAAAAAAACATTTCAAAAAGAGTTTTCACCTTATTTGTTACATGTACACTGTAAACGCTTTATAAACTTGGTTCAGCATAATACTCCCCCCTACACACACACACAGAGTCACAGAGTGGGAGATGTCGGGATAATTTCACTCTGTCCGTTCGTCTGTCATTCTGATTGTAACACTTTCTTTCCAGGAGAGTAGAATGATTTTGAGTTAAAAAAATTCAAAAGTCAAGGTCAAAAATTCGTTCATGCAGCTTGTGAGTAACACTTTTACCCTCAGGCGATATCTAAAAGCCGTAGGATTTTATATCATAATTTAAAATGGACCAAAAAACAAATTCTAATACTTAGAGGTCAAAATGTCAAAGTCTAGATAATTCATACATTGCAAATAACAACATAAGTTTTATTTGAACTTCTTTTATTTAGTATCACAATATTAAATAATATCCCCATCATAATATAATAATATTAAATAACCCCATGTGACTAAATAAAGACCACTATTGAATCTGAGGTGAAAATTCAAAGGTTATTGTCAACAAATGTACATTACATGTGTATATGTAACAATTTTGTTTCTAAATTACTTCTTATCTCCCTTTGGCCATTGAAAGATCCCTGTTAATTTTGAATAAAAGGTCAAGGTCAGAATTTGAAATGACTTTCAGTTTTCTTTATGATTTTGCAATGAAGTTATTTATTATAAACCCTTGTGACTAAAGAAGACACCAGTTGATATTAAAGTCAAATGGTCAAAGGTCAAGGGAAGAAAATCATGTTTATCAAAAAAAAAAAAAGGTTTCCAGATGATATCTTTCCTTTCTTTCAAATTTTTTCCCTGATGAGTTAAAAAAAACCTTTTGATTTCTGTTAAAAGATCAAGGTTTAAAAACATATCAGGAATGCTTATGATTGTAATGATTCAGACATAATAAACCTTACGGTGCTACATATAGTACAGTGAACCTTGGACTTTCAGTAAGACATGGCATTATCGGGGCTACATAATTAGCGTCTGTCAAATGGCGAATAGATTCTCACTGGTTTAAAAAAAATAATAACATCATGAACTTTAAATTGTTGTTGACAACGATGAGATGACCCACCTCTTTGCAGGACGAGACAATGTTATTGATTATTCGATACACTCCTTGACATATGCCTGATTTTCTATCCCATGTACATTTCAACAGTGAAAATTTCAGATTCTAATTATGTAACGTCGATAATTGCACACCTTACTGAAAGTCTAAGATTGACTGAGAATTGTACTATATGCTTTCCTTAATATATATCAATGACCAAGTGTTCATAAAACAAGAAAAACAAGCAAATTCAAAGAATTGTGGTCCCCCGCTTTCGGTGTCTTTTTGGGTGAGATCTCATTTTGTATGACATTTTGCGTATAATATGAACGCCCTATCACAAGTCATCTATTTAGAAATTATCACTGAACTCCAAGGTCAAGGTCAAAGGGTTAACGTTCTTGTATCCAATGAAAAGTCTTCTCAAAAGGATTACATACGTGAAGTATGAAAGCCCTAGCCCTTACTATTCAAAAGTCATGGTCAAGCTTAAAGTTTTCTCATAAGTACAAAAAATCTCCAAGGTCAAGGTCAAGAGGTCAAGGTTGTTGGTATCAAATGAAAGGTCTTGCCACAAAGAATACCTATGTGAAATATGAAAGTTCTGGTATCTACTGTTCAAAAGTTGTGGCCAAGATCAATGTTTTTGAAAAGTAGGTCAAACTCCAAGGTCAAGGTCCAAGGGGCAAAGTTCTTGCCATTCAATGAAAGGTCCTCTCACAAGAAGTATATAAGTGAAGTATGAAATCTCTTGCCCTTACCATTCAAAACTTATGGTCAAGGTTAAAGTTTTCTCATAAGTACGGAAATCTCCAAGGTCAAGGTCAAAGTTGTTGGTATCCAATAAAAGGTCTTCCTACAAAGAATACATATGTGAAATATGAAAGTCCTAGAACCTACCATTCAAAAGTTATGGCCAAAGTCAAAGTTTGGAATTTTTGTGTAAAATTGGGTCAAACTCCAAGGTCAAGGTCAAAAGGTCAAAGAACTGTGAACGATAGTATTGTTCTCCTGCCTACCTCCAAGTCAAAAATTTCAAAAGTTAACATATGTGATGATTTTTTTTTTGTATTTTTTATAGATAATTATATGGTTTTTCATAAAACATTACTTATTTGGGAGTTCAAAGAGAGATAACTCTTAAATTTTGGTAAAACTTGTGTTTTTCACTATAGAAATCAACGGAAAATGGAAAATATTTTTAAAACATCTTTCCTCCCTGTGTCACAAAAATTCCTTTTTACAGGTAATATGGAATAATTCATACCAAATCTTTGTGTGTGACACGGGGGGGGGGGGGGGGGGGGACATATTTTTATTGACAAAAAACGAAAAAAATCTTTATTTTCCACCAGTTTCAAAGCGATTTACAAGTAAAACATTATATTTTATTGATATATTCATGTTTTATTTATTTGCCTAAGAGAAAAGAAAAGATATAAGGAAAATTTAATCATATCCAAGACTATTTCAAAATATGGTGATGCCTGAAACTCCGATTTCAATGGAAAATATCGTCTACCCCCCTTTTTTCAAGAGCTGATGGGGTCAAAGATTTAATGACCAAATTGCCATTAAAATTGAATTTAATGAGTGCAAAATGTAGGCGGGAATCAAGAGTTAGAGTTCGTAGTTCTTTAGCCCTTGTTGCGATCTGGAGAAACATATATTGAGATATCGAATATTATTCAAGATCAAAAGTCCATAAAACAATAGAAAATATGAAGTAGAGCAAACGCGGACAACTAAAACGTCAGAGGTGAGATCAAGTGTCACGGTTTTTATAGGGAAAGAAAAAAATTTTCAAATGAATGAGGCAAATGCAAGAATTTTTTAAGTTTTTGACAAGTGAAAAAAAGTTTAACATTAAACATATGAATTATATTGTCATTATATTTAATATTTTTTCAATTTCTGTAATCGTTCATCTAACCATTTCATGTAGAACGCATGTAAAATATGATTTGCTAACCGATTGCCTTCTAAGAATTTCTCATTCATAATGAGACACCACTACTTGCCGGTGGAGGGCTCCTAGTTTAAATGACTGTACTGGGCTTTAAGGTCACTAAAAGATGATTTAACAGTGAGAGATCTTTTTGTGCCATCACTTACTGTGACATAGGACCTGGGTTTTTACTGTCTCATCGGAAGGATCGGTCTCTACATCCCGCAGTCTGATTCGAACCTGCGATATAAGATATATATATATATATATATATATATATATATATATATATATATATATATATATATATATATATATATATATATATATATATTATACATCTGTCGTATCATCTGTCTTTTGATTTTCCCCATGTGTGTCTGTCAGGTTTTCTG